ACTCGGACCGCTCGGGGCGACGGGGACAGCCCGGGCTCCGGGGCAGGCGCCGCGCTCGGGCCCCGGGCTGTGGCCTTCCGAGCCCCTCCGGCGCTTCGCCGGCCGCTTCGGCCAAATCCTGCCCCAGGGAGGTCGGGTGCTGACGCCGGGGCTTGAACCCAGATCCGCGTGAGTCCACCTAGTCAGACCCCCCACGTTTCAGTTGAGTTAGGATTAGACCTAGAGAATAGTAATCTAGTCAGTGAAAGTTCCGCCCGGGCCGTCACCTTAAAGAGCTTTAGCGGTGTACTTCCCTTCCCTCCTCGGCCTGAGACTGCTGCTTAATGATTCTTACCGTCTGTCTCCTTCGTGATGCATCTGTTACAGGAATCGCACTTTAAGGAGTTGGAACGCTTAAAGGTGTCCTCCAGTTTCTGTGAGCAATTCAGGAAGATGTCGGCACTGTACAGCCACACCAGGGGGTCTGGAGATTGGGGTGTCTGAGAAGAAAGGGCCCTCTTTCTTGCCTGATCCCTCTTAGGTTGTTGCAATGCCCAGGCTCCTCAGGGTCGGGCTTTCTCTGAACTGTTCTGTGTTAGGATTGCCTTAGGCTGGTGTTCAAGGGTGGTGTGTTCTCAGTTCTTGATTCCTGTAGGATTCCTGGGTTTCACCAGTGCAGTGCGGGCTGCTGAAAGTCTAGCCCCATTGTCGTGCTCCAGGGATTCCTTCGGTTCTGGAAGTTGCAGTTTGTTTGATTTTTCAGCCCTGCCTCCCCTTTACCCTCCCTTCCAAAGCTGATAAAGTTGAGATTGCACCAGAATGCTCTGGCAGCATGGAGAAAACTTAAACCCCTCTAGTTACCAAGCCGAGTCTGGGACTCTGGATCCTCCTGTCTCAGCATTCTCAATATAGGGATGACAGATGTGCATGGCTGTACCAGGGTAATTTGCATTTAAATGATGCAGTTATCTTTGGCAGTTGCCTATTTCATTTTCAAGTCCTTACCAACCTGATTATTTTCCATTTTCCCAGTCAAAGGTGGGTGGGATTGAAAGAGCCATTTGGATAATTCCTTGAACCTGGTTGGTATGTGAAAAGAGTTGCATTGGGTTGGACCTGTGGAGCTGAGCCAGAATTCTGTCTCTCCCAAACAGTTTGGTAGTTGGCCCTGTGATATCGGCCTCTGTTCACATAGGTGAACAATTGTCTTTCTTTGAGAGACAGTGTAGAGTTAGGTTTCTAGTACAGGCTCTCAAGCAAGCCCCCTTGGCTTGGAATCCTAGCCTCATACTTACTAACAGTGTGATCTTGGATAGGTTACTTAATTTTTTTTTTTTTTTTGGTCCAGAACTTAGGGCCTTGAGTGCCATCTCTTGGCCTTTTAGTTCAAGGTTGGTGCACTATCACTTAAGCCACATCTCCACTTGTTTTTTTGTTTTTTGTTTTGCTGGTTAAGTGTAGATTAGTCTCAGAGACTTTTCTATGTAAAAGTATAAATATGTGGGGCTGGGAATGTGTCTTAGTGATAGAGTACTTACTTTACATGTATGAAGCCCTAGGTTCGATTCTTCAGTACCACATAAACCGAAAAAGCTGGAAGTGGCACCGTGGTTCAAGTGGTAGAGTGCTAGCCTTGAGCACAACGAGGCTCAGGGACAGTGTCCAGGCCCTGAGTTCAAGCTCTGGACTGGCAAAAATAAATAAATAAATAAAAATATATATGTGTATTTTTTACAGATCTCTGAAAATGTCATCCTAGAAGTAACATTATTCTCCATAACTACTATACCATTATCACACATAAAGGTTTTTTTTTGTGTTTGTTTTTTGCATATCCTGAGGCTTGAATTCAGGGCCTGGGTATTGTCCCTGAACTTCTTTTGCTCAAGGCCAGCACTCTACCACTTGAGCCACAGCACAGCACCACTTCTGGCTTTTTTTGTTTATGTGGTACTGAGGAATCGAACCTGGGGCTTCATGTGTGCTAGGCAAGCATTATACCACTAGCCACATTCTCAGCCCATATATGAAGTTTAATACTGATAAAGTATGTTATTTAATATATATTCTACATTGTAATTTATCCCACATTTTAAAATTCAGGGTTCAGTCAAGAAACAGATACTATTGGTTTTTCTCTTTAGTTTGTTTTAATCTAGATTTTTTTCCCCCACTGAGTGCTGATGGTTCACATCTGTAATCCTAGCTATTTAGAAGGCTGAGAGCTGAGGATTGTGGATCAGAAACAGCCAGGGCAGGAAAGGCTATGAGATTCTCCAACTTACCACCAAAGTGGAGCTAGAGTGGAGTTGTGGTTCAAATAGTAGAGCACTAGCCTTGAGCAAAAATTTTGCTCAGAGCCGGGCGCTGGTGGCTCACGCCTGTAATCCTAACTACTCAGGAGGCTGAGATCTGAGGATCGAGGTTCAAAGCGAGTGCGGGCAGGAAAGACCGTGAGACTCCTATCTCCAATAAACCACCAGAAAAACTGGAAGTGGCGCTGTAGCTCAAGTGGTAGAGCGCTCGCCTTGAGCTGAAGAGCTGAGGGACAGTGCCCAGGCCCAGAGTTCAAGCCCCAGGACCGACAAAAAAAAAAAAAATGCTCAGGAACCAACATTAAGACCCTAAGTTCCAAAGCCCCGGGACCACCACAATTTTTTTTCCTA